CATCCAATTAGTAATAAGTTACATAATCACATTTGTGAATTTACCTAGTATAAATTCTTCAGAGATAAGTGAAACTATGTAATGGAATTTAAAAGCTATGTTATAGACAGCTGAAAATAGGGCATAGACATATACACAGGCTTACTGTTTACGTTGCGATAATGTTGCCACTCAGTCATTGAATTGAAATTCTATGACACACGAATTCTAAGTTCTGTTTATTTGTTGTTCATTACCATAGCCATCCGTTTCTGTCGGTGACTGAGTGCAGCCACAACTAGCGAACCTAACGAAAGGAAATTTCCGAGTGCCACTTCAGCACTCAAGAGTGTGTTGTCGGAATGTTGGTAATTCATCATGACCACGATTCACAGGTTTTATTTTGCGCCAGATGTACTGGTGTAACTCAGCTCATATACAGATTGAGTCCAATCGACTTTCTGTTTCGTTATTTATAATTCACAGGTGATGTTACCAACCTAGAACGCTTGTTCCTTTGACTAGGCATCTTGAACTTATAACATAACGCCAGAATAAAGCATCAGCAATATATAGGGTGCTTGTTGTTTTTTTATAGACTAACTAATCAAATAAATCAGTGATGTGCGCATACAATCTGAAATGCAGAACGAACTATAGGCTATTGATTTAATCGGGGTCTATTTTCTGAATAGATTTCTCGAACTAACAAGAGTTGACTTCCATGAACCTGGATGTATAGGCGCTTCATCGTCAATCTCACCATAGTATCATATGTGCGTTAGCTAAAATGACGGTAGACGGCATTCTCAGATTACTCACTGTATTCCAGCTGTATGAACAAACAGAGAGTTGTGCATGGGAAGTATTAACAACCCCCAAGCAGGTTATTTATGACAACTCTGCATCAATGGGATTTGATCGCAGTACATTTCTACGCAAGACTTAGACAAATGTTTGAAATGAACCGATGATACTCTCGTAACGGCAAAGAATAAGCGAAGTGGTTAAGTACATTTTCGTTAAAGAAAAACGCGTCATTTTCATACTTTAGTGGATAAAAAACTGTTCTGATTGATTTGTAATCGACTCAAGTTTAAACAAAGGGACGAGAAGTAGCAAAATGAGATTGTTTCAAGAACACAACGTAAACTAAATCCAAGTTCTAGGAATAAACACTTCTACCGCTGCAACCATTTACTCAAAAGGTTGATTTAAATTTTAACCAGCTTGCTATAAATCTACACCTACATAGAACATGTCAAACTACTTTAACTACCGAAATCAGCAAAGTGCGTACTCAAGGAGTAGCACTGAATTAACTTCTACCATACCTCTAGCCTCTATAATAGAGTATTTTTTATATGGCTTCAGTTTGACCTTTCCAGTTTACGTGTATTTCAGTTAGGTCGAAATATATTCTTATATGTGGCGAAATTTTGCATTCATAGAAGATTTGAATGAGCCACGTCGAATATTTGCAGACCAATACGCTGTTAGAGTATTTTCTACCATGTCATATTCACAAGCCTGATTTCCGCAGATTTCCCCCACATTAAATACTCACGCCAATGACTGATAGTTTCCTCCCTGATGAAGTGAAGATATCTCGAGTTTTACAAACGTGTCAATGACATGAAATTTTTACTCAGCAGTTCTATACAACCGGGTGGATTTCAATTGAAGGACAATAACAAATATGTAGCAGTCACTCTATTGCTAGCAGGCTAGGTTCGCATTTACGCACTTGTTGTATTTTTACTTGACCTGATTATGTATTGATGTCGGCAGAAAACTACATAAATTGCCACCATAATTCAAGATGAATATCAAATTGAATTCACTCGGAATTTGCTCATATTCATCTACTTGTCTTCGAAGCACCTTATTCATCTATGTAATCTAATGAATTATCATATGAAAAAAGTGACATCTGAAAGTGAGGCAGTCGTGGAAATTAAGTTTTATGTGCTAAGGCATGATACTGAACATCAGGAAGGTACATTTACTATTTCGACATTCTCGTACCATATGTGGTGTATAATGAGTTTCTGTAAGTTTTTTACATCAAGCTTTCCAAAGTAGTTGTCAAGTTCCCCTTTCCAAAATAAAAAAAGGCTTTCAATAAGATTTTGGCACTTTAAATATCTAGTTGAGTTTGCAAAAAAAATGCAGTTTATTTAACAAAATACATCGCGTTTGAAGTCAAATGGTAGGTTCAATATTAGTTTTTGGGGGGGGGGGGGGGAACTACCGTATTGGTTATCAGTGCAATATATTTCAGATTCTATCCCTCACCCGTTTACTTCATATTCTTAATGTCTGTTACGACATCAATGTTATTATCAGCAAAACAGTAGAAATTAGGAGATGTGGTAGAATACTGTTCGATATCACTTTGTTTATTTGAGGTATTACACACCGATAGGGTATACACGCATGCATTCTAACAAGTTAAGTTCTTTATTATTATTATTTGCTTTAGTCCCTAGAGAAACATAGGGCTTCAGCAGTGCGTCTCCATTACGTTCGAATCTCTGCCAATGTCTTCACCTGCCTCCATGTTTGTACACATGCTTTCATCTCCTCTCCACATGACCTCCTCCATCTCACCCTTGCACTGATGACCAACTATCCACTTCCTGTTCGGGTTCCCCTCGAGCGCCTCTCTTGTGGTGTCACTTGATGTTTTTCTCAGAGTATGGCCAATCCACCTCAATTTCTTCCTGCTTATTTGTTTCACAATCGGTTCCTGGTTGTTTCGCTCTCAGCGATCGCTGCTGCTAATCTTTTCTGAGCGAAGACATCTGTTAATGAAGGTCTGTAGCTTGTTTTAGGTGCTCTTTGTGACACGCCAAGTCTCTGATCCGTAAAGTAGTACTGCCTTTACATTGGAGTTGAAAATCCGGATCTTTTTTTTTTTCATGCTGAGTGCTGTTGACCTCCACACAGACTTGAGAGTAATGAGAGGTTGCCTTGCTTCCCCGATTTTTGCTTTGATATCCTAGTCACTTCCATCCGCCTGTAGCTGCAACGATGCTTCCCAGGTAGGTAAAGGATATCCACCATTTATGCTGATTGTTTTCCGCTGTTGTTGCTGTTGGCCAGGAATATTCATCACCTCTGTTTTCTCTATGTTCACCTGAAGTCCTATCATCTCTGTGTGCTTCTTCTACCAACTTGTTGCTTTTCACTTGTGCGGTATAATTATTTGTACTTTACATGTGCTGAAACTGCAATGCATATATGATTGAAGACAAATTTTGTCTTATGGCGAAATCATACTCCAGTTTCCTCCACCGTAAGTCAGATTCGGGTATTTGTGACAGGTTAGTGTGTAACTTTCGAAACATAACTGTTTTTACACCAAAATCAATGGTTTTTGAAGTAAATCCACTTTCCACCAGTACTTTGTTGCACTTTCCAGCACTTTCCAATACTTGGTTGTTATTCTTATGGGCTGAATTTTACGAGACAGGTACTAGATCAAACCAGTCTTCGATTACATTTGATAAATACTGTGAGCAGTAAACCAGCGTTCTGTTCACATAAGGTTGTTTATACTAGTGACGATGAAGGTAACCACTAGGATGTTGAAAATACTAATTGACAGGAAAATTATTCTCTACATTTCCTCTATCGCTAGTTGTATATATGCATATTTCCGGGACAAATCCTAATTTGATAAATGTGGAAATTCATCAGTCAGCTCTGGAACTAAGCAAGACATGCCTACAATCTTTCAGGAAATCAAATCTTCTCTGGGATTCGAAACCCCTCTACACATTGCCTCATTCAGAAATGACACCACTGAGATATCCCAGCTCATTATTGACCACCTGTTGGATTGTGACGGACACACTGATTGGCCACAAAGGTATGTGCCAGGGTACAAACAACTTTGTTTGAGTGACTATCATAATATCACTCTCCTTGTCTAAGAGTCAGACACTTGTCTCTCTATTTCATGGCTGATTTAAAATATCTACCCTATGACGTATAACAAGGCTTACTTTCACACAGAAGAAACCTGAGTCAACCATTCTAGAGGGAAATAATGCTAACTATTTTGCCCATACCAATCAAATTAGTCAAAATCTCATTTACTTTCAATGTCAACCACGTAGCAAATTATAAGCATTAGGCTTGTTAAAGGTGTTACGTTTGAAAAGTACATACACGTGAGTAATGTGAAAAATGTGAAAGTACCATCGTTTTACTTTTGTTTCTGAACTACTTTTAATCGATTTAATCACTGATTATTGGAAGGCAGAGACATTTTTATTTCTGTTATTCATAAAATTCACTGTTAAGACCTTTCCACGAAGGTGGCCTAATGAGAGTGTTCACGAAGGCTGTCTTTGCAATTACAGAAATCAACCTAGTTAGTAGAATTACATCAATAAATAATCAACCTATAAGAGACTCTACGTGAGATAAAGTAGATAATTAATCCAATTCTTTAATACTTCAATCGTTGAAGCCTTCATTGAGGTCAATCATTCCTAATCAATGCTCTCATGACAGAAGATTTTCAAGATCTTGCCAGCACGCTGACATGGAGCATTGATTTATGTGACAAAGCAAACCAGTGGACTGTTGGTGTGACACTTAGATCAAACTTTCATTCATATATAAATATTGTTTATGAGTGGAACACTATTCAACTCGCCAGTAATCTGCAAACAACTTGTAAGTTAAACACATGAATTTCACACTTCATTATCACATCCATGTCTAACAAGACCGTTCCCCATCCAATGGACTGACTACATTTACTAATTGATGTTTCACACAGTCATGCAAATGGCAAAGCCACAGATCACTTCGTTGATCACGAAAAACTCCGGTGTGTGTTTTAGATTTGGGGCGAAATATGTAGGGGTATTATATGTAATTGTCCATCTTTGCACCGATTCCTACACTACTCATATATTCAACCACTGTTTAGTCGTTCTTTTGTAACAGTCTGCGGACTATTTCCTTCCAATTGATTTATTTCTATTTTCAGACCCGCAACAATGACACGAGTGTCAATGTTCTGCGTCATCATCATGACTTGTGTTCTCCTCCCACATATTGTCGAAATGGAGCCTCTCAAGAAACCTGGGGAACTCCCTCCATACGCTGACGAGGAAGGTGAGTCACGAGGATTGGTGTACTATTCAGTTTTGTGTCAGACACCATATATTTCAAATCCTGAGGTTATTCATAATCAAATAATAAGAAACGAAATAAATCAGGCAGGATTACTGTAGGCCACGAGGCAATACTTGGCACGACGTCATGATGACCAACGTAATGATAAAATATATACGTGGCTATCGCATACCTACCATGTGGTTTGTTTACTCGTGAGTGTGTGGTGTAGATATATATGATGGAATCAGTTATTGGTGCGTTTGAATATAGACTGTTTCGTTAGACCGGATGAGAATATGCTTTCTAGAGCTAGATGAGCGCTGGATAATTTACCATAAAACTGAGGAGTTCCGTCTCCTAGATGTCTGATCACCTCGTTCAGATTTCACTTGCCATTCAAAATGATGTGGCATGATGTTAGGAGTATTCCCCATGACGAGACAGTTTACATATAGACGATTTGTAGAAGTGCACATTCGATGATCGATCAACTACGAGTTTCTAAATTCAAAGCAGCAAATTTGATGGAACAGAGTGGACTTTGTGTCACAGTGTACACTGTTATCATTTCTAGATGAATTCTGAATACTTCAAATTCCACCCGAGTTCCCTTATCTTTACTGATAAAAATAGGTAGGCATCGAAAAACCTTGCACAACCTGCAACACAGCGGATATCATCTCAGACAAGATATGATTCAGTTTGACGTTTAACGATTCCTTTCCTTTAATGAAGTCAATCTGTGCAGTTTCATCACTTCCCACTGGTCATCATAGACATCTGTTGTGTTTCTCAGTCAGTATGCTGGTATATTTCAAGTACGGTTACAGGAGTCAGACAAGGGTGTTTATTATCACCAATGATTTTCCTAATTGTGATGGACTGGATTATGCGTCAGACAATGGGAAACGAGAAGACAGGGATATCCTGGACCGGCATGAAGAACCTAGAAGACCTGGATTTCGCGCGTGGATGATTTATGTTTGATGTCACACAAAATCGAAGACTTACAAGCGGAAAACAACAAACTGGTCGAAGAAGCAGCAAAGAAAGGACTCCAGGTGAACATAGACAAGACGGAGGTTATGAAATAACCAACCAACAACAACAGCAGCAACATCCAGTGCCAATCACCATCAACTGGAGGGATTTGAAAGGGGTTACTTCATACACTTACTTATCTAGGGAGCATTGCCTCAACTACACGAGGAACGGACGAAGATGTCAAATCGAGAATCGGGAAGGCGAGAAACGCATTCATCAACCTGAAACCAATCTGGAAATATTCGTCACTCAGCATCAACAACAAAATTTGGATTTTCAATACAAACGTCAAGTCAGTCAGCTCTTCTATACGCATCAGAAACTTGGCGGGTCACAAAGAATATTTCCAACAGCCTGTTGCAGACCTTTATCAACAACTGTCTTCGTCGCTCTATACCGAAGATCAGATGACCGGCCGGAAAGAATCACCAACAAGAAACTATGGGAACAAACAAGATAAGAACCAATCGCTCAACAAATATGCAGGAGAAAGTGGAGATGGATCGGACTTTCACTGAGGAGGCCGTTGGGTGACATCGCGCGTCAAGCCAGTGCTCGAGTGGAACCCGAAAAGGAAGTGGCGAGTGGGACGTGCAAGGGTGACATGGAGGAGATCGTGTGAAGAGGAGTTGAAACAGTATGGACTAACATGGATGCAGGTGGAGAGTACAGCAGGAGACAGAAGCAAGTGGAGACGTGTAGTTGAAGCCCTATGTTCCACTAGGAACCCAAGGGAACAGTAATAATAATACTCAACTTTGGGTACAAACAGCAACGGTAGAGTAGTTCACAATGAGCACTCCTCCTGTGAATTACTCACAACAAACATAGATTACCGCTGAGTAGTAGGCCCCTTTGAGAAGCATTCTCAACTTTGTACATTTCACTTAACTCCTTGATTTATTTAAATATTATTCTTGGTGCACAACTATTTCATATACTTGTACTTATCGTGAAATGTCTTTCTCTTTTCCCAGTGCCTGTAAAATCCCCGAAAGAAGTCAAAGTTGCTGAGAAGCCCGATTTGAAAACGGACGCCACGGGAGAGAAGGATGCGAAGAAGGCTGTAGACGAGAAGGTTGTGGAGAAAGTGAAAGCGGATAAAGAAGTGAAGAAGGCTGCAGAAGAAAAGGCTGTGGAGAAAGTGAAAGCGGAGAAGGCTGTGGAGAGCGTGAAGGAAGAGAAGGATGTTAAGAAGGCTACAGAAAAGAAGGAAGCTAAGAAAGTGAAATCAGAAAAAGATGTGAAGAAGGCGAAATCGAAGAAGGATAAGAAGTCAAAGAAGGGTAAGAAGGACGATTGTGATGATGATGATGACGAGGATGATGATGACAAAGACGATGATGATGATGACAAGGATGACAAGAAGAAGAAGAGGAGGAAGGAGAAGAAGAAAGCTGAAGCTGAAAAGGGCAAAAAAGACGCTAAAACAGTAAAGGGCAAGAAGGACGGTAAATCTGAAAAGGCCAAAAAGGACGCTAAATCTGAAACACTCAAGAAAGACGATAAAACTGAAAAAGAAAACAAGGATGCCATAGCTGCAAAGACTGTGACGGAGGCCAAGAAAGAGACAGATACAAAGGTCTCTAATACTGAGAAGGATACTAAGAAGGTGTAAGCACGCAGTTTTTCGATTGAATCGATTCTGTGTCGGAAAATGATAGTCTGAAGTGACATGTATGGTTAATTTATTACGCAACAAATAAAGCTTCATTAATAGTTGTCACGTTCCGTATCACATTTTTCCGTTTCATTGTTATGAATTGACTAAGCAAGAACTGCGTAGATTGTCTATTACGCATCGTTGTTCACGTTCACACTGCTTAGCCATTTGTGTGCATTGTGTTTGTACTTGTGCGAAGTGGATTGACATCTTACCTTCAATAGCTTCTCTTCGACTGTAACATCTACGTTGTGTGGCATTTCTTTGTAATTAAACCGAATATTCCGCCTCAGTAGTTTCAGATACTAGTGAGTTGTGGTGGACACAACTGTACTATTAATAATAATGCGCTTCATTCCAAAACATTACTAATGTTACAGTTTGGAGTTATACTGAACAATATTTAAAAATTAATTTTAGATATAGGATCGGTAATAGCGGCTCTTACATGGTATTCGTAGTGACAGTGAAGTCATTTGCACACATATCTATAATTGTTAGTAATAACACTCTAAGTAGCTAAGACTGTCAGTTAATTGAGGTATTGTCACTATTGATTACAAATAGGAGTTAATTAAAAGGGTCAATTATTTCGTTAACTACAAAGTAGCACAAACGTTTATGCTTAAAACTGTCTCTCTCGCATAAAACATGGGCTAAACATGGTATAGCTGATTTCCCATAGTTGGTAGTACGAGCATATAGTCTATTGAACTAACTTCTGGTTCTACCAGATGAGATAATAGAGGTGAGTTGAGAATGGAGGTTATGTTGAGGGTTTGGCAATATAGATTTAGATCATTTCACACATGAGTTTAGATGTCTATCAACTAATGGAGTGAAAAGCTGACTAAGTTGCCTTTAATACCTTTCTCAAAGTGATGTAGACCTATTTCAGTAGACCAGGAAAGACTAAGGGAGAGCAGTGAAGTACACGAGTTAACAAGTTGTGAGAACAGAGGTTACAGGGTTCCAGATAATTTTAGCTTCTGAATGTAGCTGTCAAGACGGAACATTTTCTTGGAGATCGATGAAATAAGACCAAATACGATAGGACGATTAAACTATGCCAATGTATTTGTGTTAAACCTAGTTTATGTTACACAACCCTCTATGCTACAAGCATCGTGTGAATTAACCTGTCGTAGTAGATCACTTAAATATCTAAATGCGAATTCAGTAGTTTGGCATTTTAAGGGATTTCACGTAAGACCATTTAGCTTGGACCATTGATTGATGTTTGACAGAAAGCAATTAAATTTGGAACAGTACGATTAAGACTTGACAGAAAGCGAAACAATTTGATCATCAGCGTATTTGACATAGTCGATTTCGTTAGAACGAAGCAATTCATGTAAGAAGAAAGGAAAAGGAAAGCAGAGAGAACAGTAGTCTGAGGAACATCAGCCGCGGTAGGCAAGGTAGAAGAACATTCAGCCTTATATTCAGTATACTACACTCTATTTGAGAAATAAGAATGCTATCGGTCAGCAGCCCAGGACTTGATTTGAGTGAGACAAAGCTTATTTAACAAAAAGCAGCTAGGCTCTGAGTCAAAATCAGATTTGCAACCGAGGAAAGTACAACGTAATTATTTGGCCCCATTGTCTAAGAAGGAGACAATGTTATGATGTAATACAGCGGCGGCATCTTAAGTAATTTTGCCTTGCTTATAAGCAAACTGTCTGGGATCATTAAAACCATTTAGAGAGATCACAAGTTCGAGTACGAGTAATCTCTCCATTAAATTTCAAAAAAGGAGAGGTCATTGCAATGGGTCTACAGATTCAGTCAGAACACTGAATACCAAACTAAGCCGATATATTACAAAATACTGAATAAGTATAGTACAGTCATTAGGAATAGTAAAACTACACACCACACAGTAACGTCGGTGTGAAGTTTGGCCTTCTGGCCACAAATTTATTAACATTATCCGCAGGTCCATGCACCGCGTATTCCGATGAATGTTCCCCCTGTAACTTCGCCAGTCTGGTCTTTGATTCTCATTTGGAACGAGGGGACTCATTTCCTGTATACTTTGAGAAGATTCTGCCAATGATGGAGAATCAATCCGCCAATGTTTGTCAATGCTATGAGGTAGTCACCGAGAAATAGGATACGATATTCAAGTGAACACGTTGACATATTATATCTTCCGCGCAAAAAATGCTTTTTTGAATGAAAACAATTTTGTTTCAGACAATGAATAACCATAATGTCTTTTGAGAAGTGGTTGTCACTTAAACTGTCAATACTAAACTGTAGAAAATAATCCTTCTACTTTCTACTCAGAGTCTCTTATGTGTTGAATGATAATCATGATTGAACGTAACAGATCATCATCGCATTGGATTCTCCCTTTAATACTAGTAGTAAGATTGATAAACGCGATTGTCAAGCAAAATTGTTTTGTTTTCAATTGCTTCCGTTACACACCATATTTGACATTTTCTATAGTTTGGTTTGTAAGCGTTAGTTATGTTTTTACGAGCTGATCACGGATTGATATCAGTTAGAGGACCACTGAAAACCAGGGTGTACTGGACAGCTGTTTCATCCTAGTTTGGGAATCATCAGCAGTAGGTACCCACTGGGTGGATGTCCCACCAACGACAATGCTTGGGGTCACACTAAATCACGAATTGGTAGAAGTTAGAATTCATGAACCATTGAATAGGGTCCCAGTGGCTGAATGGTAGACGAGCTTGCCTTGCAACCGGAAGGCCCTGGGTTCGAATCCCGGTGGGTGCGTACTGCCGATGATTCCCAAACTAGGATGAAACAGCCGCTCTCCAGTACTATCTGGTTTTCAATGGTTCTCTAACTGTGAACAACTCGTAAAAATATTTGACATTCCTAATTAAATTGTTACTTTCATTCTTTGGTGTGTGTGTGTGTGGACATTTCTACTCCTCTGAGTGTATCTTTCTGTCAATAAGACATCTCTCAAATTACACCAATACATGAATAAGTTTCTAATGTGTGTTTTGATTAGGTATGATGGACATTACAGTTGAATTAATTGATAGTTTGAGCGCGGCTATCAATGCAACTTCAAGAATCCAACATGAACAAATTCCATAAGTCCGAGCTATTTCATTCTGCTCTGCGCATTTTCATTCTCGTTTTCTTTTTGTGTCTGCCATATTCCACCACAATACTGGTTCATTTTATATCTTTGGCGTCAAATTTATCCCTCTGCCATCTGATATTTTTATGCCGATGAAAGTCTCTTGAAATACTACTAATAAATCTCGTCAGCAACACAAAACGAGGTATATCTGGAAAATTCTGCCACAACAAGCACAAATGGGGTTGAAAAAGCAGAACTATACGATAGAGAAGATTTGTAGCTCAGGTGAACGATTTTGATGTAGTTGTGTTCTCTGAGCTGGATAGTTAATTTGCGAAGCTTTCATCGCTCTACTAGGCGACATCTTCAGCACATACTTCAATTTGAATTGAAGTGAACTTTTGGATTTGTCCAGGAGTTTATTAATCATCTCTTTCAGTGACCTTGTACGTGATTGGCATCCAAATAGATGAACAAGAAATAATGATATCCTTTGACGTCACAGGATTATATACCTCAGTCGGATAAAAGCTAGCAAACGAGAACATGTAAAAATTATTCAGCAACGACGAACACCTCCCACAACAATCAAATATGCAACACACAAGCTGGATGGAATGCATAAACCTATGCCTAACAGCGTACTTCCAATTCAACGGCCGAATATATGAACAAGTCAAAAGAACATACATCGCATCGTCAATATCAGGTTTGATTGCAGAAGCAGTGATGCAAAGGCCCGAAAACACAATGCTACCAAAGATCAAACCCAAAATTCGGATATGTTACGTAGACAACACATTTGTAATAATCAAAAGAAACGAGTTAGATAAAACTAACAACTTAATAAACAACGTCTTCAACGACATCAAATTCACAAGAGAAGAGGAATCCAGGAACGGATTCCCATTTTTGGACGTCTTAGTCAAGCGAACAACCACAGGGGAATTAGAAACTCGTGTATAGAAAATCAACTCACACAGACCAAATACTAAATTGCAACAGCAACAATGCAATAACACACAAAAGGAATTGCATACAAACACTATTCAAGAGAGCCAGCCAAGACTCATTGCAGCACTCTCACCTCAAGGAAAATTGAAGAAAGACGTCTTCAAAAAGAATGGATATTCACGGAATTTCATCAAAAGACGTATATCCCCAAGCCTACCTATCAAACCAAAAGCCCCCAAGGAAAGCACAAAGAAACTCACCCTACCATATATATAAAAGGTATTTCAGAAATCACTGCAAGACACTTCAAACCTTTAGGAATTGACGTCGCACACAAACCAATAAAATCACTTCACTTCGTTGGCTCCATGTCAACCAAAATACCCAACAACGAAAGAAGATAAAACCAATATCGTCTACAAAATAAATTGTAACAACTGCGAAAAACATCACTTTGCCCGAAGTGGACTACCCTCCTCTTCGTCTTCGTATCCGCAAACATAAGCTAGCCGTCAAAATAAATGATATCCACTCCCTCATATCACGACATACAGACAACCACGGACATGAATTCGCCTGGGACAACTAGCGCTCAAAATTAGACAGAAGAAACACCAAGAATGCTTAAGAGTTTTTAGAAGCTTGGTATTCCAGTGAATCGTCAATCAATAGACACATCGAGATAGAGAAAATGTATCAACCGGTAAGAAAGAAACCTCACATATAAAAAGTGAAAGTTCAAGTCAAAGGAACGATCAGTTCCAATACAAATAACCTAGAAGGTGTGAAAACACACGGAAACAACCAAAGAGTCGCATTCAAGTTCACCCATCAGGAGAGATGACTAATAAACCCGTGGCGGAATCTAAAAGCTCACTTCAATTAAAATGGAAGTATGCGCTGAAGATGTTGCCTAGTAGGGCGATGAAA